GGACAAAAACCTCAGTGTGCATCTTAAAAACCGGGGGCGTTTGTACATGTTGTCATTAGAGTTGGATGGGTGCGTCCAAGGCGCCTATGAATGACTGGAGATACATGGTCGATAGTCCCCTCAGCTGAGAGCACTGAGAGCTATTTTTTTACAACTCTTCACGTTAGACCTCACTAAGAAGAACTGACCAAATGCGACCGATAGGATTTGACATCTCAAGCTTCCAAAATTGTAAGTCCCCAAAACCACATAATACAAATATTATATTGTAAAATGTGTAGGGAGATAGATACACCTCGTGTTTAACCAAATAGTGTGGTTTGGGGCAAGCATCCAGGCGCCATTCACGGCCAAGGTGACAGTCGCCCAAATGATGAGGTACTGTCCCAAGAAGAGATCTTTGAACAGAACCCAGTGAAGTCCTGGTGACGAAATGAGATGAACAAGGCCAAGCAGTGCGTTTATGTGTTATAGATCTAGGGGTCAAATGAATAGCATGGAGCTATCCTGCATCCTAGTTCTACCTGGAGCTAACTTAGCGCTTTTGATTAAGCAGATGTCTACTTGATTAAATAGTACAAGTAGGGGGGCAGAGCGGCCTTAAACACATAAAATAACAAAGAATAAGGAACAAAAACACACACAAACGAAATACAACTTCCAAATCGCAGGGTGTCCGTCAATCAATGACTTCCAAATGGAACTCTTTGGACTCTCTGTCACCAGTGTCTCTGGAAGGTTCCAGAAGAACGCTGTGGCGAGTGTACTCATCACAGCCTCAGAGATCGTTTGAATCGTGCAGGTCTGCAGCATGAGTGCAAATGTTCCACCTTCTATCAACGAGTTCACCCCATGGCCATGGCCCGAAAGCAATTTTTGATGACAAGTCCAAGAAGCCAAGGACGCCCAAAACCTAAGAATGCAATGCAATGGATCACCATCGGGGAAGTCTGAGGATTTCTGCCATAAACTGATCTTCTTCATATGCGTTCACTCACTCAAGCCACGCTGCGGGAAGTAGCTAGTTAAATGCGCTCTTAGAACTGGATAGCCGCTCACAAGAGCCAAAAGACCTTACAATGCACATGTCCAAATACAGCTTCCTTGCACTCTGCCACACTTGCAAGGTGGCTTTGCAAGACCTCCCATCTCATTGCGAAAAGTAAGGATCACGCTTGCAAGATTCTTTGACATCTCCAGCGCTGAGAAGCAATCTCCTAAAGATTGACAATATGTCTAGCACAAATCAGTCTCTGCATGACACAGCATGTTTGATGCAAGGATCTACGTTGTGAGTTGAATAATGGGTATAGTATAGACCCACAGTGCTAGATTATATATTTCTCCGTGTAGTTCCTGCCTCGCTTCTGCTCATCTTCGCGAGTGAGGTCTGAAATCATGCCTTGGGCGGTGTGGAGCAGTATAACGTCTTTCAGACGTCGTCTCAAGCATTCAACCATCGGCCAACGGCTTCAAAGACTGCACCTCCCTGCTCCAAGCGACAATTCAATGCCGGATACATTGGAGCGGCACTCATGACCTCAAAGACGTTCTGCACCTTGCTGATCCAGACTTGGATGGGGAAACGAGCAAGGCTAACAAAGGCTTTGGAAGAAAGCATTCTGGGATATTAGTGTCATGCACAAGCTTCTGGGAATCTGTGACTTTACCGAGGCACGATAATGATGACAACAAAGGCAGACCAGCTCAAGAAACATGAGAGAGTCAACAGCAGCTTCACTACAATACCTTGGTGCGTCTGGAAGATACAAGAAGCATCAAGTGTCAAGTTCCAACTGGCAATCGGCAAACTTTCTCTATGTCATCAGCACAAGTGGAGGGACAGCTCCCAACTCTAGCCCAGTCACTCACAAGAAGAAAGAAGCGGATAATAGGCTTTCGGCCAATCCTGTTCAACGCACATGCTGCATGCTTGTTTAACATGTCCATTCTGCTCTGCTGCTCCACTCCTGTCCATGTAAACACCAGCGATCAGTACCGTGAGCATGCTAATGCCGCTCGAAGTTGATGCATTGATGCCATTGATGCCTAAGCATACAAAGTTCACAGTGCACTTTTGTGAAGCTTTCCTGCCCCTGTATATCTCAAAAGTGCCGCGCAGAATAAGCTCGGATTTTGCTTGTTGTTGAGGTCCAGTCTGCAATTGCCCGGCCATTTCAACCCGAGTGATAAAAGTGTTTGACGTTTTCGTGATCTTTAGCACTTTTTGTGCAATGCTCAAGTACTTTTCGTCACATCTTGAATTTAGACATGATGAGGTTTGTGGTTGTCAAGGTCGTGCTGGTTTCGAGCATGCTGACGCCGTCCCACTTGCAGAGTCGCTGTCATTGGGGGAGAGCGACTTCATTTGGATTGCCACCAGGTAAACTTTTGACATGGTGAACATTATTAATCAATCGCTTTATGAAATGGTCAGCAGAATGAAATCATCGCAATACTTGCCGGCAAAACTTTAGCAAGGTGATTGGAGACTGCTTCGAACAGCGGGGAGAACAAGCTGGACTCGCCCTCTAATCATTCACCGCCTTTCACACAGGTACAGCGGCTGAGGATGTTGCGTGCAGCTTGGCTTAGCACCACACTCTTTTGGGCGCAATGGACCTAAGCGGGGGCTCACAGCCTTGAACTAACAAGCAGCCCAGCCTTAAATCCACAATTCAGCCCTGACACGGAGAGGGACCAATCAGGGTGAGACCGTTCTTGCGGGACGCACACATTTCCTTGGAGGCCTTAGCTACAAGAAAGTCCTCACAAAGTCCTTCCTGCTACGTCCTTCATTCCAAGTGGAACAAAATGAGCTACATTCATGAACACACACACACACACGGCACGCACACACTTCGCCCTTGTCAGGTCCTTGATGTCTCCAGCTGCGTTCTTTTCATGCATCCTCTATCTCTATCTCTCTCTCTCTCTCTCTTCGTGTGTCGCCAAGTTGCTGGACCCGCTGGGACAATGGCCATTCTGTGGCAGTGGCCATGGGCACTGAGTCATGCTCTCAACCTTAGCCAACGTCTCGCACAAAGTCTCATCAGATATATATATATATACTATTGTCAATTTACTGCAATTCCATTAAATCAAACTTTGGGATTTACTTCTTTGTTTCATTCAAAAAAGTTGGAACAATCCTGTAGGAAGCAGAGCTGTGCTGCCAGCTGATTGTCAGTTCCTGTAGCCAGCTGAAAGCGAGGCACAAAAGCATCGAAGGGGTCTCCGGAGAAGTATTGAAACCAAGACCTCTGCAGGTTCCTTTCTTGAATTTGACAAAATTATCAAGCAGCACTACCTTCAAAAAGCTTGGTCTCTGCAAAATTCTTCTGCAGGTAAGCCACATCCAGAAAACAAATATCAGGATCATTGAAATCTCTGGCGCCGGAACTGCAGGCATGAACGATTCAGGGGTGTTTCAACCACACTTTTGTGAGCAAACCACCCTTGCCAAAACATCATACAACTCATGCAAACTCGGCTCTCTTGATGTTCAGCGTCACTTGCTGCCTAAAGACTGGTGCTTTGACCAATATTTCTTCACAGCACAGCCTGAAGCCTTGCCTCCTTTGTCACTCACAAGGAACCATCGCAGTGATGCTGCACACAATGTCAAACAGGCGTACAACGGCAGGTTTGAGAACCGGCCTGCAAAACTGTGTCCAGTCCTTTTCAAGTGAATCTGCAAATATCTGCATCATGTTCCCCAGCTTCAAAGAAGAAACACATAGGCAGTGCTAATTCTGTCAAACTTCCAAGGGAAACACACAAAGTCACTATGATAGTTGTACTACAGTGGGACTCTCGCATGACCGGAGCATACGGGTCTGGCCTGCTTGGCCAAGGTGATGCGCCCTGGGCATCTGGTCTTCATACTGTTGATGATTCTGACTCCTAGAGCACTGTGACTTAGGCGAAATGCGCATGACCTCCCCGGATGTTGCAATTCTGTCGAGGTGGTAGACTTACCGATATTGCCTACACAAGTCCTGATGTTCACAGAATTCTGCAAGAGGGAGACTTTCAGCAAAGAAGTTTCATCATCATCGCCTCAACCGATCATTGCCCACTGCCAGGTCAATGAGTCAAGCACCCCAGCGGACTGTCTATTTGGCACTGGAATGTAAGTTGTTGCTTCTTTTGCATTGGCAAACTATGCCCAACTTGTGACTTGTGGTGCCCACAACTATCGATCACACACTTCGACCTGTTGTGAGTTGCGACCCCCAATTTTGTATTGAGGTCTCCACCAACATGTGGATGAAAGCACTGGGAAAGATAAAGGAGTCCCCATGATGCTGGTAATGTTAATTTTACTAAGGAACTAAATTTGCATATCTTGTAATATGTGAAAGGAGTCTGAGATGTCTGCGTTGTGGTTTTGTTTGGTCACGAGTCACGTCAATTCCTCATGTGATTGGTAATTAATCGGTGGTGTTTTGTGTCCTGTGCATGATCCGTTCAGATGATCTGCGGTAGATAGTGGTGTCCTGCCATCTGTTCTTGGTGACTTTTGGTGTCAGATTTTCACGTTGAGCACGTCAATGTAATTCAAAACAACGAACACTTGGAAAGCATCTCGACACCATGTCTTCTGAACCGTTTCCATAAACTAGTTTAAAGCCAATTGTATACGTTCTTTGCTGCTGTGCTTCTTTGCTTGTGCTTTCTTCTCGTTTCGTTGAGCATGTTTTGTTCGCTCCTCAAAAACCCACTTTCTCAAGATTCTTGATGCGCTAAGGTACATGTGTCAGCTTCCGCAAACGTGCATATCACCACAAAGACCACCAATTTGTAGCCTTAGAAGCCGTTGTTGGACAAGTCCGAACATCCAAAACTGAAGAAAGTCATAGTGAAGTCTACTCAAGAACTCCCCTTTGTTCCTAGCGTCCTTGCTCCTAGTAGTATGGCCAGGAGCCCCTAGTAGCTTCTTGCTCCTAGTAGCGATGCCAGGAGCCCCTAGTAGCTTCTTGCTCCTAGTAGCTCCAGAGTAGGAAAAAAACAACAATATTAAAAGGTGATCAAACCTTTGCAGCTGAAGGTCTCCATCTCATGGCCAGCTCTTCACGAAGCTCGGCAGAAACATCGAAGCATGAAGAGTTGCAAGAGCGACTCGAAGAGTTCAACTTGCTTCTTTCTGTTTCTACTCAAAACCAAGTTGCAACCAGAAGGGATACTGCCCTAAAGTGCATGAAACGGACAATGTAAGTTGGGTCCAACCTAGATGTAATGGACAATCAATTCTTTAGTTTTTTTTTTAATGAAAATTAGTCAGTGGGTTCGGTGAAACAGAGGGATAGGATTTCTTCCCTCTAGGACCAATGAGCCTGCAGCGCGAATTGAATAGGTCAATGCGTGCTCACAAACTGTGGAAATGTTCTTGCGCTGGACAGGTGCATGCCCACAAGAAAACGGCACACGATGTTGGGATTGAATTGCTTCATTCTCTAGTGCTCTTGGCAAACAGTTCTGTCGAAAAGAACTAGCTTCCGGGTTGAACTTGGCTCCGCACCCACCTCATCACTGGCCTAGCTCGACTTGAGAGGAAAGGTGTGCTCTCATCCAAACATCATGGTGGTGCCACTCTGTCATTCAACGGCATAAGTACACCATTCTAAAGTCGATACCATGATCATGAGAAAGCCACTTCGCGAGTGGTTGCATGTCGAAGGATGAACAAACAAACCGGACAACCGCAATCAAAGCTACATCACCTGTCAGGTAGGAGAAGCACGGAGAGGCGATGTTGCCACGCCGTATCATCCGTGTCTGAACCGAAAGTTTTTGGCTCTTGCGAGGGAAAGGTTAGGGGCGTGGCCTGTTGATAGTCGGACTTCGGCGAGCTTGCATTGCCTGCTTGCTGAAAGGATTTACATTGCAATTGCTTCTGCTTGGACACAAAAATAAACTGGCGGCTAAAAGCAAGACCCAAAGGCTTGATCTCTCACAAACAACTGTCGAGCCTGACAACATGTTATGCAGCCTTGAGTCCAAGCCCCTTCAACCAAAAAATAGAGGCTTTAAAGGGGTCCTGACCTCTCTTTCTACATATTTCACTTCAAGACTGTTCACAAAACACACCCTGACAGTCGGCTCCTTGGTCGACCTTTGCTACGTTCTCCATGTACCTCAAAGCTCCATGATTCGTGAAAACCCTACATCGCTTGCGATCCAAAGCTTAAATATGCTTAGGCTTAAACCATGGTTGGCCATCATGAATGAATACGTCGAATTCGACATTTCCGAGCTTTCACGCGATGTGAATTTGGCCTCAATCATGAAGCTTTGGCTCTGTTGATCAACCGAGTGGCACAGGCAGTTCGGTTGATTTCCGTCTCAGCCCTTGAGCCGAAACGGCGACTGTCCAGGTGGCTTTGTGATGATGTCACCGAAGAAAACATATGACCACTCCGAGGAAAGTTCAATAACTCAGAATCTTCTAGCGAAGCTGGGGAAGTGGAGGCATACCTCCTGCAATGCAAGGGTGTCAAATCTAAGTTGCTACAGAATCACACCAAACTACAGAGCCTTTTTCCTTCCACTCCTTCAGGAGTAGCGGTGATTTGGTCCAGGCCACAAAGCACTCTGTACACCATTGTACACCCGCATAAACCGGCCTTCGAACAAGAATTTGCGGCGACTGTTCAGCCACAACTTTACAAGTTCCAGGGCAGCCCTCACCCAAGTGTGAGCCCTTCCACGTCAAATCTGCAAAATCTTCTCTTGCATGCTCTTACTAGTAGTACGAGTAGGGAACAAACAATTCAATCGGATTTACTTCAACTCTTCAAACAATTTCGTTAACCTGCAACGTCTGTCAACATGGCTGGGCTCACATCGAAAGAGCAAAGCCTCTGATGGTTTCAAACCAAAACTAAAATCTGGTCACGGTCACCCTGTTCAAGGGCCCTCAAAACCATTCTCACTGGATACGTATGTGATCATGACAGAGATCCCTGGAGTCAGCACTGAACGAGCAGAGTGACTCTGGTGCCGGCGATTTAAGCATTTGCCTCAAAATCCGCAGATAGAAACTGTTCACCGGCATTCTGCTACAAATCGACACTTGAACCATCAAGGAATCGGGGACCATCAGTTGCTGTCTTTATCTTTATTTGCAAACGGTGCTTGGAGGTCCACTACAGCATTGACATTGTTGAGCATAGCCGGTTTCGAGCCTCTTTGCCTCAGCGCACTGGACGGCAGTGCCGGGTGATGGGACTGCAGCGTGCTGAGCAGCACTGAGCATTCACCCAGCAAGGTTGATTCAAGCCCAGACCTCAATTTGAGCCATCCTGAATAATTACGGTGAACATCCCCACACGGCAAGATGAACTTTGGCAACAAGTGTTTAAAGCTTGTGCAACAGGAAAAAAGAACTTTGGAGCGTACCCTGCCTAAATACAATGACATGTCAGACAAGATTCAGGTCCGCAGCGAGAGCGATGAGCCCTCCTCTATTATATTCAGCGGGGCTGTCGCATTTGCAATTGCAGTGGTGTTGTCCTCCTTTTGTGCCTGGCAGGTCTTGCCCATACAGCAGTCTTCCACCAAAAAACATACAATAAGAAACATTGGCCGCATAATGCCACATCAGCTGTTCACATCTTAGAAGAATCCAAAAAATGTAGCTATGGCAGGAGCTAGGAGAGTCAATGTCAATCCACCACTTCCTGTCCTTTTCCTTGGCCCACACTTCGGCATAAATCACTTAAGATCAGTTAAAGTTTTGTGCAACTGTTTCATAGGCGAGTCCTTCGAAGGTGCCAAGAAGTCTGCTTCCACGAAGATCAGGAGCAGCACACCAAGGAGAGCTCTAGGCGCCATAGGGCAAATGAGACAAATCTACCAAGTGTCTGCAAGCCAAAAACGCTTCCAACCAATATGCACATCGACAATCTAGAGCACTAAGATTTGTATTAGAGGATGCTGGTTTCGGACTGGATGGGCTCTCTGCGGTTCACTGGCTTGCATCTTCCTCTACATTCTTCTCCGCATTTCACATATCTCGCTTCTGTTTTCTCGAGTCTTTGCTCGCTGGAATAATGTGGAAAAATCACTTTCATTTTGAGAAAGTGGCACCATCGTCATGCGAACCATTGCCCTCGGGTCTGAGTCCTTTCTTGCACACCCCGAAATGCAGCTGTCGAACCATTTGCTCTTTCTGGCCAAGATGGCCAAGGGAACGACTCTCAGAGATGACCAAGATGACCTTCACGTTGAAGCTGGTTCTCCTTCTGGCCTTTTGGACCTTTGAGTCAATCAGCCATCGGTTCCGCGTTCGACTCAATCAGCATCTCCAAAGTTGCCTTGCAAAACTTCCAACGACCTCAGACGCACCAAATGCTCAGATCATCCAAAATGCTGCAGCTGCCTGGCTGCCTGGCTGATGGTGTCACACACCTGTGCCTCCAACTCTCCCAACTCCCTCTGGGCTCCTTGCACACCAAGATGCCCTATGCCATCACCATGATCGAACCTCAGATTCATCCGGAACGACTCCAAGCTGTGGAAAAATCGCACAGCCTCAAGAGAATATGTGAATATGTTTCCACTAGGTTTTCCTACATGGCCGCAGGCACAAAACAATTAGAGTTGTTGTCTCGAACGAGCAAACATCTCGAAAATATTCTACAGGGAGCTCATGAGCTCATCAATTGTAAATTCGGAATATTCAGAGCTGTTCTGTGAATGCACCCGCACTGATTGGCCATGTCACGGCAACGGCAAAGGTCGCTGCTGCCTGAAGCAACTACGGTTGGCTGTTCACCATTTTGAAACCAAAAGGAACCACCAAACCCAATGTGAGCACACCTGCAACGCATCAAAAATTGCTGCAAATCTTCCTCCACAAGCAATCTCCATTCAACTGACCAATTGCTGGCCAAAGCGACCTGCTTTGCAGCCGCACAAAGAGTCTGGAACACAGACTTATTGCACTCATAGGACTCTCAACGGATTGAGAAGGCATGAGAAGACACTGTGGGTTGTTGAGCAGTCAACTAGTCAACTGAATACGATAAACCCGTTGGAAAAAGCCGTTCCGCGAACACGCAGGTCTTCTTTGAACAGAACTTCCCAACCATGGCTGCTCAGCTGTTGCGGGCATATCATTCATGTTGAGCTTTACCCGAACTATGTAGCGGTTTGCTATAGAACCATGTAATGTGGAAAGTTGAAATCACTCGTGATCCAGTCATTTCCAGTTGTGACCGTTGAGGTTACCATGCAAGTTTTGGGAGTCTATGAGTTGAAGCTCTAGCTATACAGAAGGTCTCCAATGTGGCCATTGTCAACCTTCGTTGTGGATGGATTGCCAACCTTGGTACCCTGATCAACCGATCCAAATGCCTGCATTGGCTCAAGGCCGAGCCATTCGTCGTTTGAACGCATGACACGAGTCATAGCGAGAAAAGGTGCGTTACATGTGCAGTTGGGTCGGGTCATGTCCCTGTTTCCCTTTCATGCTTCATGTTGGTTTCCCACCTGTTCCAAACTGGTTCAGAAATTCCGCATGGTAGTAGGAGTAGACTGATCCAGTACCTTTTAGGGAACCATAGCACATCCTTCCGAACACAAGCTCGAGCCATGGGAGATGAATCTGCCAACGGCGCCAATGACAACAGAGATCGGTCACCACGAGGCCGTAGAAGACTTCGATCTTTGCCTGCTGTCGTAGATGCTCCTCATCCTAGTACCTTGCCTCCAGCCGCGACAACTCGATTGGAAGGACAATTGAATAGTATGACACAGTCTATGCTAGGTATGAATAGCCAGATCGTGACACTTGCTGGTATGGTGCAACAGCAACAAGAGATCATGAAGCAGGCGCAACAAGCTTTTCAGACACAACAGGTTCAATTGGATTCTTTGCGCGCTCAAGCCACACAGCTGCCGATTACACCCCGGAAGCCTCGGGATAGTCCATTCAATTTGGAAAGCCAACCAATGCCTTCGAAGCCGATGCCTAACGGAGGCTTGTCTTCGCCATTCGAAGCCGCTGCAGGGACAACCTCAGGTCAGCAAGCTTCGTCCATCGGTGTTGCAAAGTTGGTTTTGCCAGATGGGACTTCCATACCATTAGGCTCATCAGGCGCCGCTCCAGCTGGCACTCAAGTGCCAGGTTCGTCATCTGGGAGTGGATCGCAGACTTCTCAGCTTGATGCACTACAAAGATCGGACAAGTGGCTGCCATCGATGCCAACGATCAACACATCCTCGTGGAAGACCAGGACGGACGAGATTCCGGGATATGAGAATTTTCTAGAATCGCTGACGTTGTGGCTGGGCTTTGTCTCCAAGAAGTTCAGTCAAGAAGTCAGGTTTGCAGCCACCTCGAAAACGGTCATTGAGCCTCACATGCTGTCAGAAGAGCAGAAGTCAAGGGGCATTCGCCTCTTGAACATCTTGCGCCAGGTCTTTCGAGATGTTCCCAGAGGCCAGAATCATCTTGATGGCCTACAGCGAATCCTATGGCGAGAAGAACGGATTCGAGGCCTTGAGATGGAGTGAATGGTCAGATCAAGACAAGAGATCATGCACTTCAGGAACAGCCTACGTTCAACAGTATTCAAGTCTGACAGTGTTACAGAACTGGTCAAAAGTGGTATCTCCAAAAGCGGTCTCGAAATCCAGGACTTAGCATGCTGTTACTTCGCTCACTTCCTCAACAGGTGCGCGAGTTTGTGACCATCCATGGTGCTTCAGATGCCTATGCCGATTTGAAACAGTCGGCGCTTCGTCGTGAAAGTAGTCAGCGACTTTGGATGGAGATTGGGGGTAGCACATCTCAATACCTGAATCAAGGTGTCTTTGAAAGGAAAGGCAAAGGCAAAGGAAAAGGTAAGCATCGTTCAGGTTCAAGCTCTCCGAACAAGGCTGATGATCGCAGCGAGAAAGAGAAGCAGTCAACTTGCTTTCGTTGTGGGAGAAAAGGGCACTTTCAAACCAACTGCCGAGCAAAGACCGACAAGGAAGGTAAAGCTTTGGGCTCCTGATTCGAAAGGGTCTCATCAGGACCCAAGTGTTTGCAAGAAAGGTGGAAAAGGAAAAGGACGGGCAGCTTAAGAAAGGCAAAGGAAAGGGCAAGGGCAAGGTTGCCGAGTTCATTTCAGAGGCACCAATGCAGCCAGAGAGCGAAACGTCGCCTGCTAAAGCTGCAGCTCAAGATCCGCCTTTGAATGCGCCGCTCACTCCTTTTGTCGCATCCAGCGCAATGCCGTCGTCTTGTTTCCGGACCATGTTGGACTTTGAGCAAGACACCATCCATAGTTGTGAGCAAAGCAACATTCGTTCCGAGGACTGGGGTCTTGAAAACTCAATGAAAGATGCGAGTGAACAGACGCGTATGTGTTTAAATCCAGAAAACTTGGTCCCTCTTCGGCTTGAAAGTTTTTCTCACGTTTGTCAAGATCCAAACCAAGTGGTGAAGTGTTTGAATGATAAAGATCTTTTTCGACCAAATGTTGATGCCAATGTTTATGCCTGTCAGTAGTCAATCAGACTCCAATGCAAATAACAACCTGTGGTTGATAGATTCAGGAGCAAGTGCCTCTGTTGTGAGCAGCCGTTTCATCTCTGACTATAAGGTGATCAAAGAAAAGTCTTTGGAAACCTTTGCCGATGGCTTCTCCTCGGCATCCGGCGAAACAATCCATCCCAGCAGTTTGGTTTGTATAGAAACATCTGCCCATATGATATCGCTTGTGGATCCCAGGGTTTCATGTTGGAAAGCGTGCCAAGTCACAGCTTTTGTAGCTGACGTTCCCAACAATGTCCTCAGTGTTGGCAGCCTGTTGCGTAGGGGATGGAAACTTTCAAACCTTGGTACTGATATGGTAGTCTCTTTTGAGGACTTCCGATTGGATGTTGTGACAGGGATGAATGTCGCTTGGATTCTCCATCACAAAGATGGGGAGCAAGAAGTTTCGCAGCATCAGCCCGGTGGAAGTTCGAAAGCTTCCGATTTGCCCTGAGACAACTTGGAGCAGTCGGCCCTCCGCCGGAAAACATGTTTGGTTTGCTGACAGCGCGCCAGATTTGGGAATCGATGACCGTCCTCTCTTGATGGCCAGCAAAAGGAAAGCGCAAGTTGACCTAGGTGATAGTCTAGACAAGGAAGCCGCAGGTCCCTGAAGGTCAGAAGAAGCGGAAGTTGTATTTCAGCCTCAAGCAACCGAACCCACGGTTGTGGAACCGAACCGTTTTGTTCGTGTCTCAGACGCTGCCGAGCAGCACACTGGTTCCAGCATTTCCGTCGGTCCTTTGAAACAATATGAGCCCAATCCATTTCGTAGCAGTCAAGAGTTGTTCCCATTTCCAGATCCAGAATCTCAAGAGCCATCTCAAGCAGCCCCATCAGGTCTGCCAAACGTCGATCCGTCAAAATCTCAGCCGAAATCCGTAGAAGTGGTGAGTGATGAAGTCGAAGTAGGACATCCTTCAATCTTGAAGAAGAAGAATCGTGATAAGTTGTCCTTGGATGAACACCGGCATCAAGGTCATTTGCCTTTCCATCCAGATTGCCTCGCATGTGTGTCAGCCAAGTCCACAAATCAGCATCGTCGTCGTGGAAGCAAGAATTCTAGTGAGATTTGTGCCGATTTCTTTTTCTTGAAGAATGTCCCACCAAATTCCAAAGAACAATGGAAATTTTTGATCATGGTCGATGTTCACACGGGCATGAAAGCATGTGTTCCAGTCTTGCCTAATGTCATCAATACTCGAACATGGATCAAAAGTTGGATGAGTGAGTTTGGTCTCTCAGGTGGTGAATCCCGATACGCCTTGGAGGCGCTTACAGATGCTGAATCTTGGTCGTGACATTGTATTCTTCAAAGCATTGCCACAGAGCCATCAGACTGTGGGACACGCCGAAGGTGCCATTCGTATCCTCAAGGATAGTTTTGCCGCACTTCGCCGAGACCTGAGATCGGTTGGAGTTGACCTCAAGCTCGACAGCAGAACATGTTTGAACACCGCGTTGTTTCAGTAGCAATCGGAAGCCCTCGGCGTCCGAAAACAAAGACAACGAAGTCGAAGTCGATCACGCAAGCGCGAACGTGTTTCAGCTCGCAGCCATAGGACACTCTCGTCGTGAAACGGCTTAAGGGATCCCTCGAGGATCCAAACAGCGGAAAGTGGGAAAATGCAGGCAACGGACATGCTTCACATCCAAAAGGTGTCATGTCTTGGACCCTGAACCTGAGTCAATCACACACCCCAAAGTCTTTTGCCAAAATTGAGCAGTTTTCCGTTTTGCAGAGGTGAAGGTGGGATCATACTTCAAGGTCCAAGTGCCGTTGATCAGCGCATTGCGCAGACTGCTTTGGACTTGGTGCTTGGTCAAAGCATCTGCTAATTGTGCATGACTGTCGACCCATCGCGCGTCCGTCGCGCCTCACTCCAAACGTTCGCAGTTCAAGGGAGCTGTACTTCTCGGTAAGACCAAGACCGCTGGTGTTGATCATACCCTTTTGAACAGCGTCGTACAAGGACTTAGCATCAGTAACCATGGAACTTGGAACCTTTCGGAGGAGGTCTTCAGGGTTCTGGGGATCCAGCATGTAGCCTAGCATTTCGGCCCACTGCAGCCTACAAAACATGAGCTCCTCTTCACCTTCGCTAAAGGCCTGAACTTCAGCAGCTAAGCTGGATCGTGCAATCCTTCTGAGTTTAAAACTCTTCCATGAGATCAAGTGGATCTTGGCTCTTTGGCCTCGTCGGAGATCAGGGATGCGGCTGCAACTAAGTAGCCGCCCGTGCTCCCCAAGTCAATCCTATTAGCCAACGCTGCATCGGTCCAGCAAACAAACTCAACTTCTCCAGGAGAACACTGCAAATCCTGAGCTTTCGGAGAAACCATCCTACCGTTGTGAATCTCCCTCACCAACTT